TCCCCTATTGAATGATGTGAAAGAGCTTTAGCTTGCCTTAGTCAGGATACAGTAGGAAATGGAAGCTTGTAAGAATAAGTGCCAGACTCTAGAGGTGTTCTACCAAGCAGACCTAAAGGAGAAAGATGATTTTATCGAGATTCTTGAGAGTCGTGCTATAGAGACGATGGAGAGGCAAGAAGATTTATTTTCCTCTAAGCCTCAATCAGACCTTAGTTGCTCACCTCCCGACCCTGATGATTGGAAAGAGGTCGCCAACATGTATGTGAAAGAGAACCAGAGGTTGAAGGCTCAGATTGCAAGACTCACAGGGAAGCATCAGTGTGTAGAGTGATCTCTTTCAGATTTGCTTTCTTAGGGTTTTTAGACTTTATCTTCATCTTGTACTTGAGATTATTGAAATTTGTACTAAAAAGTGTAATCCATTATGAGGTTATTATAATCATATTTTCAGTATTTCAAATGTGTTATTACTTTGACATTTGCAAAATTGTCTATAAATCTTTGAGTTCCTTGAAATATTAATAATAAAATAAATCATATGCATTGCATATCATGCATCATATTGTACATACTTCTTGCATTTTTTGAGCATAACCAGGTGTCTTATTGAGCTTCTTTACTTCGTTCAGCAAGTTGTCTCATCAGTATAATATTCGAGCTAATTTCAGAAGAAAGATGGACAATCTAGAACAAGAGAATCACGAGATGCGCAAAGAAGTTTCTGCTCTGAAGGCCGGTATGGCCAATCTCACTGCTCTAATGGAACCTTTGGTGGATGCTCATAATCATCCACCACTTGCTCAGCCTCAACAACCAATAGTCACTACCGAAGCTCCGACTATTCCTATTTCTGCTACTCCAACTGCTGTTGTTCAGAATTGTTTTCCTCAAGGTTATCCTTGGGGAATGCTAGAGAACTTTATGCCAGAAGGTTAAAATCAGGATCCTCAAGTTTCTCCACTTGCTCCGGCTGCTGCTGCTTCTGCACCTCCTGTGGTGTATATTACTCCTGCTGCTAGAAATGAGATTCACTATGTTGCACCTCCCTCGATGGATGTGGTACCATTTGCTAATGATGAAGTGTATCGCCATATTCCTCCAACTAGTGAAAGCTTGGGTGTCTATGATGGAATGGACGATTTTCAGGATCAGTTTGATAGGATGCAGAAAGAATTGAAGGCCCTCAGAGGAAAAGAAATGTTTGGGCAGAATGTGAATGATACGTGTTTGGTTCCAAATGTGAAAATACCTGCAAAGTTCAAAGTACCAGAGTTCAAAAAGTACAAGGGAAACACTTTCCCTCGTGCTCACTTAGTGATGTATGTGAGGATGATGTCTACTTATACAGATGATCAATGCCTATTAATTCATTTCTTTCAAGACAGTTTGACCGGTGCAATATTGAAATGGTACATGAGCCTGGACAGTACCAACATTCATAGTTTAAGTGACTTGGGTGAAGCGTTTATCAGACAATACAAATACAATATGAACATGGCGCCTGACCATGATCAACTCAGGGCCACAGTCCAGAAGGACAAGGAGTCATTTAAAGAATATGCACAGAGATGGCGTGAAGTATCCGCCCAGGTGATTCCTCCAATGGAAGAAAAAGAGATGACAAATATTTTTCTGAAGACACTAGGTGCGTTCTATTATGAAAGGATGGTGGCAAGTGCGCCAAGTGATTTTACCGAAATGGTGAGAATGAGCGTTCGTTTGGAAGAAGCTGTAAGAGAAGGTCGTCTGACAAGAAGTGAAAATTCTGGAAATATGAAGAAACCATTATACGAGTTTGCTAAAAAGAAAGAAGGAGAGACAGATGTTATTATTCAAGAAAGTAGGGTTAATCCTCCTAGAAGAAATCATCAACGCCATCAACAAGTTGCCTCGGCAACTCCAGTTGTTAATATAGCTCCGACTACAATCGCTTATCAAAGATCATCCCCTCAAGGAAATCAAGTGCAGAATCAAAGGAGAGAACCTTTTGACTATATTCTTATGAGCTATGCAGAGTTACTCCCAGTATTGATCCAAAAAAAGTTGGTCCAGACTAGGCCACCCCCGACTATACCATCACCTTTGCCTTGGTACTATAAGGCAGACCAGACGTGCGCTTTCCATCAGGGTGCACCAGGGCATAATGTGGAAAACTGTTATCCTTTGAAGTCCGAGGTATAGAAAATTGTGAGATCCGACCTTTTGTCCTTCAAAAATTTCAGCCAAAATGTCAAAGATAATCTTCTGCCAAAGCATGGAGGAACGAATGCTGTTAACATGGTTGCTAGTTGTCCAGGAGAATTCCGCATTTATGATATTAACCTGGTCAAGGGAGACTTGGTAAAGATGCATGCAGACCTTTGCGAGTTTAGTTACTATACTCATGAGCATGCTGGTTGTGGTATCTGCAGTACTGATATACAAGATTGCGATAAGATAAAGGCTGATTTATAAGAGATGATGGATGAGGGCCTCATCCATATAATCAGGCCTATGGCAGAATATGAGGAAGAAGTGAACATGGTCTTTGGATGTCTCGGAGAGTTCCGGATCTTTGATATGGACCATATGAATGATGATCTCATGCAATTGCACGCTACCTTTTGCCACATGGCTGGTCAGGTAGAGCACCACTATGGATCTTGTCGGGTTTGCTGCATGGATTCCCAAGGATGTTCCATTGTAAGAAGAGGTATTCAGTTGTTATTGAATAATGCGACTATTAAAGTTTCAAACCAAAGAGATGATTACCATGAGGTTAACAAGGTTGAGGTTGGCTTGGCTGAAGATGAATCAGATGATGAATATGCTTCGGTGGATGAATTCTTTTCCTCAGATGAGGATATGTTCTCCAGCGATGATTCCTTGATACCCAAGTTTTATGAAGAAGGTGTAAACGTAATTGTGCCTTATTTTAATGATTATGTCCCTGTTGAGATTGAATATTGTAGCAAGTCAGTTGTTGCCCCAGTGGTGATTTGCTTGCCAGAGCATGTTCCTTACAAATCAGATAAAGTTGTACCGTACAAATACAATGCTACTATTTTAGAGGATGGTGTGGAAGTTCCCATCCAGCCATTGTCAAGCATTGAAAATATTATTGAGACTGGTAGAGTGACCTGTAGTGGTCGTGTATTTGCACCGGTTGTTCGGGGAAATGATAATGCTGGTAAGAAAGTTGTGGAAAGTAATGAGATTAAGAAAGCTGCAGGGGAGTCCAGTGGTGCTACCCTGGAGAAATATGTGGATGATATTTTAAATATTATCAAAATGAGCGACTACAAAATTGTAGATCAGCTATTGCAGACTCCTTCAAAGATATATATCCTAGCATTGTTGTGAATTCTGCCGCCCATAGAGAATCTTTAATGCGGGTATTGGACCAAGCCTTCGTGGAGTGTGATATACCGTTAGATCAATTCAGTAGTGTGGTAGGTAATATTACATCTTGTAATAACCTAAGCTTTTGCGATGATGAATTGCCTGACGAAAGGAGGAATCACAATCTGGCTCTCCACGTATCCATGAACTGTAAAAATGATTCATTATCAAATGTGTTGATTGATAATGGGTCCGCCTTAAATGTTATACCGAAGAGCACGCTGATGAAGTTAAAATATCAAGGGGCTCCCATGCGCTCAAGTGATATTATTGTAAAAGCTTTCGATGGATCAAGGAAGTCAGTTATGGGAGAAGTGGATATGCCTATCCACATAGGCTCACACCTTTTCCAGATCACTTTCCAAGTCATGGATATTATGCCCGCATACAGTTGTTTACTAGGACGACCATGGATACATGAGGCAGGGGCTGTCATTTCAACTCTACACCAAAAGCTGAAGTTCGTGCGTGAAGGTAAAGTGGTTATTATAAATGGAGAGCAAGCATTGCTGATTTCCCATCTATCATCTTTTAGTATTGTAGAAGCAGATGAAACTGCTGGTGGAACGCAGTTCCAAACTTTATCCGTTGATAACGTGAGAGATAATGAGAATTATATGGCTTCATTCGAAGATGCTCAACAAGTTACATATCAGAGGAAGACACCTCTAAATAACGGTAAACTATTAAATACTCCGAAAAGCTATCTTCAATGCTTCTGCAGGCTACTCCTGAATATCTGCGTGTTACCCATGTGGAGGCAACATTCAAACAGAAAGGGTGAGTAAACATAATTCGTTATAAAAGATATAAAGAAAGAGAATTGCAATCATAATTATACAATCATATAAAATCATCAACAATTCATAACTCACACCCCATACATCATAATTTACACGCATACAATTTTCATCATAGAAATCAGAATGTAACCAACTAACATCACAAAATCAACACATGACACATCATCAACAGGATTATGCAATAACACATAAATGTTATGTAAAGACATTGTCTCAATGCACGTGGTGTCATAATATGAACCCTTAGATTCATTTCACTCCTTGATCCCCACTATAATGTTATGTGGTGTCATAATATGAACCCTTAGATTCATTTCACTCCTTGATCCCCACTATAATGTTATGTAAAGGCACTGACTCAATGCAAGTGGTGTCATAATATCTCAATGCACGTGGTGTCATAATATAACACTGATTTGTTTAACTGACTAATTATTCTATGAAATTTATTATTTTCAAAAAACAAACATAGCAAACAAATGTTTCTATTAGAAATGTCTTCTAATAAAACTATTGGCATATAGGATTTGCACCAACATGTCAATTTGGAGTTTCTCATTATGTATTAATCTCCATCTACGCTTCTGTTTTCTTAGTGGGGTGAAAACATAAAAAATGATAAGATATCTTGAGTATCCTAAAAGGAGGTTCGTAAACCTGAGAAGGATGTAGTCAACAATATGAATTAACTTTTTTCACAAGCATCAACTTTTGAACATCATGTACTTATGAATGACATATATATAGTATTGCATATTCTTTGTAAAATTGATCATACTAAACAATTTACAATCTGTTAATCCTCATAATAATTTATACATTAGGTGGATTTGACCATCTTCTCTTCACCTCTGATTTCCATCTAACATCTTTAAGTTTTCCATCCAAACCATAATCTCTTTCCATCACAAGATTGATTCCTTCATCAGAGTACCAACCAACTCCAATACAAAGAATACCATCCTTATTGATATCAACATAGCATGTCACACCTCCAGGAAGCCATAGCACTGTCATATCTTGCATGTCAAGTCTCTCCTCCTCTCCAAAGTAATTCGTACTATCACACGGGCTTCTTTTCTTCAGAGTTTCTGTACAAAGGTAGACATATGGAGCAGCGTTGCCTTCTTCTTCTGTCTTTGTCTCCTCGGCATATACCGGAGTCGCGCTGATTTCAAAGACTTTCCATGACCCTGTCAACTCTGATGGCTTGGTTCTTTTTCTTTGTGAAAATGGCTTCAAATCAAATTCCATATCACCGCTTTCAATGCAAAAATAATTCGTTATTTTAATGAAGAACATCACAAGTTTCATATCCTAAACTAATTCATCGGCGTAAGTCTCGTAATCATAGATTTAATACGAAATATAAATGAAGTTATAAAACACAAATACCTCAGGTCATCAACACAAATAGGACTAACCCATTCTTCTTCATACACAGCAACTCTCATTATTTGTATTTCTGAACCACCATTTACGAATTCTATAGTATGGACAATGCGGATCCTTCTGTGGCAGCCTTTAACTAAGCACTGGAAAAAGATAATCCGTTTCAAAAAAAATATCGCAACTCTTATCGGTGAAACATTAATCCAACATACACCTTCTCTTGTCCGGTGTTTGCCTTGACACCGACGCATACGCATGTGGTTATATTTATTACTGGTGTCAATGTGTCAATATCGTGTTCGTCTCAGTGTTAGTGCTTTTATAGAGAATGATAAATGAATCTGATATTTTATAAGTAGCATGCCATGCCCAACTTACTTGTTCAAACTTGAAAGTTGGTGTGACATAGTACTTTGAATCATCGTCTTTACCCGCTGAAATATCGACAGGACCCCTAGAATACGAACCATCCTGCAATTTATCAAATCTAATTATTTATAAATAAAAAGGTTATAACAGACGATTATTCTTTCTTTTCAGTTCAATTCTTCAGTTCCTAACAGAAAACTATAAGATAAATACGTTGGAAAGATTTGTAACATATCCTTACTTCAAAGTAAACCAGGCCTGGTTCACAGCCCATGACATCTTCTTCCATCACGTCGCTTCTTTCAAAGTCAAAGGATTCAAATGTCGGCAAAACACGATTTGTTATTTTTTCACCGGAACCATTCTTAGCTACGTTGCCTCCTTCAATATGTTGTGGCATTTCACCATAAGGATTCAAAGTCACCCAATTAACCTTTCTTTTGATTTGAGACGTACGTTCATCCGAAAGCGATGGCACTGTCTCTATTCGGGAAAGAATATAACAGTCGAAGAGGTTTTCGTTCCTGACACTTATGTCCATTGGCTCCATTTCAGCTGTTATGGGAGAAAACACAGCACCTACACCTTTCCAAATTCCGTTGAGACTGCTAGCAAATGTGTTCCATGCTGGTTTTATTACTGGTTCCTGAAAGAGTGTCTGTTCTATCAGTATAATATTCAACGCGATTTGAACTAATCATTTCTACAGTTTATCAATTTCAATGTCTTCAACTAACTATTCTGTAAAAGGTTGACGTCTTCGGACAAAGTAAAGAAAAAACATGAATACAAAGAGAAAGTAGAGAAAGTATCCCGAGAGATTAGACACATTAACTGCATTATGCAGTACGTCTTGGCCGCGCCCGATCAGAATCGATGGCCAGATAGTTAACGGTGTGAAACTGACTATGTAATATGAACTGCGTGTTGCAGCAGACCCCAGTTCGGAATCCCTATTGGTAAGGTAGTTAAAATTGAGATTTACGCAAACCTTAAATCACTTCAAAAACTCGTGTAATTTAATTCATAGGCATAGGTCACAAGTAAGATGATTAAAACCTTAAGTCACACTTCAAATACTTACATAAATTCAATTCATTCATAAGCATAATTGTATAAACGTTTCGAAGATAGTAAGATTATACGATTCAACGATTAAAAGGGGAATTCTACTTGATTCCACCAAAATAGGATCAAGCGTATACTCTCAATCACTGAGGGCAAGCATAACTGCGTAATTGTGGGATTTACTATTCAAATTGGATTTTGACCACCATGCCTACCAGGCCTATCCTACGCCACAAAAACATGACCAATGAGGCAATGAATATCCGCCACTCTAAACTAGTAAGCTCGCTCAGAAGGTTTCAGAAAACAGTCCGTTATACGCGAAAACGCCGTGACAGAATGGTATGGGAAGGTGCCAATACCGATACAGTTATTCACCGTTTTTATGATGAAAAAGAAACTGTGGTAAATTTACACCACTATGACCGCAATCAGTATCATAACACCTTAACTGACCAATCGTGAATGCTTTACTCTCGATCCGGCACACGGCCCGCTACAGTTATGTAAAACCTTCAAGCATTCATGATTTCAGTGTTCCTATTATATACTACCTACTAATTCCTCTTTGATTCTCTCATTGTTAACAAGATCTAAGCATTCATATACGTCACATTCAAACTCACAAATTTACATACAATTTCAGAACAAGAAGAATAAAGGGTTCCATTTTCAATTTCATCACAAAAAACCACTCAACCAACCCAACAAGCAAAAGACAAAAACTTACACAAGTTACATCAATTCAAACATACCCAAAATGAGAAAAACAGTACTGAGTCTGAAGAACAGTTTCAACTTCCATCAGCATAGCCTCAGTAACAACAACACTACCACCCTTATTCCTCTTAACCATCTTCTTCTTCCTTTCCCCTTCTTCTCTTTCTGAGAAGAACCCACCTTAGCAAGTTCATTATCAACACTCCACACGTTCTTCTTGTTGTTTCCCTTCAACCTCAGACTCCATTGTTGTTGGAATTGGGTTTGGATTTCTGGGCATGGACTATGACCCTTTTGGAACATGGTTTGGGAGGGTGGAGGAGAGAGAAAGAATGAAAAGGAATTGTGAGAAGTAGAGAGAGTGTGATGGAAGGTTTTGGTGAGAGAGAAAGATGGGGTTTGCATGTTTGTGTTGTTGGATTGAAATTTCAATGGAAAACACAAAACCTTTGCAGGGAAAATGGAGGAACAAAAATGTTTTGTTTTTTCAGTGTGTTCGTGTGTGTGTGTTTTTTAGTTTTTCTTTTATTTTTTTCGTTTATAAACATTAATTAAATAGGTCATCTTTAAGTTATTAAAATACCT